ACAGTGATCTATACAGTGCTCTATACAGTGCTCTATACAGTGATCTATACAGTGATCTATACAGTGATCTATAAAGTGCTCTATACAGTGCTCTATACAGTGCTCTATAGCGCACTGTATTGAGATCTATACGGTGCTCTATACGGTGCTCTATACGGTGCTCTATACGGTGCTCTATACAGTGCTCTATACAGTGCTCTATACAGTGCTCTATACAGTGCTCTATACACTGATCTATACAGTGCTCTATAGTGTCTATACAGTGCTCTATACAGTGCTCTATACAGTGATCTATACAGTGCTCTATACAGTGCTCTATACAGTGCTCTATAGTGTCTATACAGTGCTCTATACAGTGCTCTATATAGTGCTCTATACAGTGATCTATACAGTGCTCTATAGTGTCTATACAGTGCTCTATACAGTGCTCTATACAGTGCTCTATACAGTGCTCTATAGTGCCTATACAGTGCTCTATACAGTGCTCTATAGTATCTATACAGTGCGCTATACAGTGCTCTATACAGTCCTCTATACAGTCTATACAGTCCTCTATACAGTCCTCTATACAGTCCTCTATACAGTCCTCTATACAGTCCTCTATACAGTCCTCTATACAGTCCTCTATACAGTGCTCTATACAGTGCTCTATACAGTGTGCTCTATATAGTGCTCTATACAGTGCGCTATACAGTGCTCTATAGTGTCTATACAGTGCTCTATACAGTGCTCTATAGTGTCTATACAGTGCTCTATAGAGTGCTCTATACAGTGCTCTATAGTATCTATACAGTGCGCTATACAGTGTGCTATACAGTGCTCTATACAGTGCTCTATACAGTGCTCTATACAGTGCTCTATAGTGTCTATACAGTGCTCTATACAGTGCTCTATACAGTATATACAGTGATCTATACAGTGCTCTATACAGTGCTGTATACAGTATATGCAGTGCTCTATACAGTGCTCTATACAGTGCTCTATACAGTGCTCTATACAGTGCTCTATACGGTGCTCTATACAGTGCTCTATACGGTGCTCTATACGGTGCTCTATACAGTGATCTATACAGTGCTGTATACAGTGCTCTATACAGTGATCTATACAGTGATCTATACAGTGCTCTATACAGTGCTCTATACAGTGATCTATACAGTGATCTATACAGTGCTCTATACAGTGCTCTATACAGTGCTCTATACAGTGCGCTATAGTGTCTATACAGTGCTGTATACAGTGCTCTATACAGTATATACAGTGCTCTATACAGTGCTCTATACAGTGCTCTATACAGTGCTCTATACAGTGCTCTATACAGTGCTCTATAGTGTCTATACAGTGCTCTATAGTGTCTATACAGTGCTCTATACAGTGCTCTATACAGTATATACAGTGATCTATACAGTGATCTATACAGTGCTCTATACAGTATATACAGTGATCTATACAGTGCTCTATACAGTGCTCTATACAGTGCTCTATACAGTATATACAGTGATCTATACAGTGATCTATACAGTGCTGTATACAGTGCTCTATACAGTATATACAGTGATCTATACAGTGATCTATACAGTGCTCTATACAGTATATACAGTGATCTATACAGTGCTCTATACAGTGCTCTATACAGTGCTCTATACAGTATATACAGTGATCTATACAGTGCTCTATACAGTGCTCTATACAGTATATACAGTGATCTATACAGTGATCTATACAGTGCTGTATACAGTGCTCTATACAGTATATACAGTGATCTATACAGTGCTCTATACAGTATATACAGTGCTCTATACAGTGCTCTATACAGTATATACAGTGATCTATACAGTGCTCTATACAGTGCTCTATATAGTATATACAGTGATCTATACAGTGCTCTATACAGTCCTCTAGTGTTCAGATGAGTCAATGCAACAGCTGATTGACCACAGGTGTGAAAGTTCATCGCTCGCTCAGTTTGTTTTATGCAACACAAACATGTTGTTTTGATAACGTGTATAAATAAGTGGTAGAAACAAATTATTTTTTATTGTTTAGCATTCATTACACCCTACTGTTCAAAAGTGTTTTTTTTTCCAAAAAGTAAAACCTTTATTCATCAGGGACTCATCAAAACTGGCAGTACAGATATTAATAATGCTTTCATAATCCCATTTGGCATGGTAATGGATACGACAATGCTGATATGTTTGATTAGGTGGAATAGATCTGCTGCTGCTGTTATAATATTAATACTGTAATATACTTTCATAATTCTGTCCTGTTAAGACTACTTCTGTAATGTGTTATTAATGTAATAACTCACTTGTCGTTGGCACAGACTCTAAAGCAGCTCATCAACTGATCGGCTGCTTTCTCCAGCATGTCTCCAACGTTCCCCTTCCCCTTCCCCTGCAGCTGCTGCTCCGCCTGCACACACACACACACACACACACACACACACACGCACACACACACGCACGCACACACGCCGTAAGACGCTGCATCCGTTGCAGATCCACAGATGAATGAGTTCCACTCACATTATTGGCAAATATCCTGAGGTCGAGGGTCACGGCAAACATGATCGGCAGAGCCCTGAAAGCACAGGATCATCAGTGACTGTGACAGTGTTTATGGTGCTCACATTTCATTCCGGTGTGTTTTGACCCAGATCTGGTACATACAAATTTCTAAAAAAAAATACATAAATTTTAGTACAGGAAAAAAACTTTGCAAATGGATTAAGATGATCAAAATACACAATTTCTTTAAAAAAAAAATTTACATAATTTTTTTGCAGATATAACCATTTAAAGGAACACTCCGACTTTTTGGGACTTTAGCCTATTCACCTTATCCCCCAGAGTTAGATAAGTCCATACATACCTTTTTCATCTCCATGCGTGCTATAAGTCTGTTTGACGCACCCACCGCTAGCCTAGCTTAGCACAAAGACTGGATGTAAATGGTTGCAGCTAGCATACTAATCCAAATAAGTGACAAAATAACGCAAACATTTTCCTATTTACATGTTGTGATTTGTATAGTCACAGAGTGTACAAAAAACAAAGTCACATGAGACACAGACATATTTTAACCGTATAAATACTGGGAACTGTATTCTATATTTGCGTTATTTTGTCACTTATTTGGATTAGTATGCTAGCTGCAACCATTTACATCCAGTCTTTGTGCTTAGCTAGGCTAGCGGTGGGTGCGTCAAACAGACTTATAGCACGCACGGAGATGAAAAAGGTATGTATGGACTTATCTAACTCTGGGGGATAAGGTGAATAGGCTAAAGTCCCAAAAAGTCGGAGTGTTCCTTTAAATTAAATTAAATTATAGCACCTTTCCGGGTCAATTTTGGCCCGGGTATCAACCATAGACTGTAAAACTTTTTCTTTTTTTTTACAACATAATTCCATGAGCCACGTCTCACCAGTTCTCCTCTTTATGAGCCTGAAACGCCCTCAGAAATGATGTTCATCTGCGTTAAGGTCAAACACACACACTCTCCACACACACAGCGACTGCGTTACGCTAGAGCATCCTGAGTAAAGGATATTGAACCACAACCGTCTGGCATTTGTAGGCCTCCACAAAGTCATGATTGGACACAGCAAACGTGCACCTGCAGAGGAAGAGACGAGACGCCTGTGAGTGTGAACACACACACACACACACACACAGTGAACACACACACACACGATGAAGAATCGCACCTGAGGTGAGCGGCCACCATCTCGTCGTACGGCGGCTCCAGCAGCTGCTGACACTTCTCCTCCGGACTGGACAGCTGTGACACACACACACACGTTAGTAATCATGCATCTGTGAGCTTCACACACACACACACACACACACTCACCTGCAGGCGAGGGTTAGCCACATGCGGGTGTTTGAAGGACAGCATCTCTGCACAGAACGGCCCGTCTCTGTTGTCTATGGCCTCCAGAACCTTCCAGAACACACACACACACACACATTATAGCAGAAGAGGAGCTCCAGTGACCCTTCCCACGGCAGTGCACGGACTCACCTGCTGCAGGTACTGATTGAGTGTGATGTGCGCCATCCTGACCTCTGACCTCTGACCCAGTGCAGCTGAAACAAGAGCGCTCACACACTCACTCACTCACTCAGTGTTTATAATGTCGCCTAGTGACACATTCAGCAGAAATGCTGCTGTCTACAGTAAACACACTCTACGACACACTTGCAGGACACAGAGGCCATCCAGTCCGCGGGGAATCCAGAAGTGAAGTATGCAGGGCGCTGTGAAACACTAGTGTGTGAGACACCTTCGATCAAGCGCAGCGGCTAACTCATTTACAGATTTACAGATTATTTGAGCCCGTTATTACGTGTATATATGCGTTATAAACACTATATTATACAAGCGACTTCATTGAAATAACATTTTTTTATTTATTTACCCAAATCAACTCACATCCCTTTGCGCGCGTGCTGGGCTTCACTGCAGGACCCGCTGACGTCACGGCAGCACTTCCTGTTTACACCAGTGAACACGCAGTTTTGGAGTCCATTCTGCACTTTCCACAAATGGAAATATTCATAAACTACCTCAGTTAAGCAACATTAAAGATCGGGTATTTCTCGATTTAACTGGCACGTCAAAGTGTGGTTTATTATAACACGATTCTGATATGTAATTAAAAGGTTTAGATGAAGAGAACATATGAAGACTAACTACTGTTTTAAAGTTTGTCAACAATAATAATATTTCAGTCAGTTGAGCTTGTTATTATGACGTAAAAAGTCGAAATTGTGACTTAAAAGTCATAATTATGAAATAAAAAATGCAAACGATCACATACTAAGTCATACATGTATAACCTAAAAGGTCAACGTTATGGGATAAAAAAAGTCAAAATTGTGACATAAAAGTACAAATTATGACGTAAAGTAATGGTTTCGAGTTTTATTTAATTTCATTATTTAAATCTCTGTTTTATTCTGTAGAAGTTTCTCTGAAGCGAGGCGTGTGTTTGTCTGTCTGCAGATTCTCCAGCGGCAGATTCGCTGTTTGTTTGCCATCTTGTTATGCAGCTCGCCGCGGCGCGGATCAGTCAGAGTGAATATGGAGTAAATATGATTATTATCTGATGAATATCTGCTCATGTGTGTGTAGGCGTGTGTCGTGTCGATCCACAGCAGAAGCCGAACTCACTCCACGAGGGTTTGGAGCCGCTTCCATGGCTCAGGTTCTAGTTTGGCTGTGTGTTTTGATAGCTAACAGCTAACAGAGATCGAGTCACTCTCTGCGTTTATTATATTTCATGTGTGAATGATATTAACCGAGATCAAATGATGGCAGAAGACATCCAGCACAATCAGAAATCAAACTTTAATGGACTCACCAAACCAGCCAAAGCAGGAGCGTCTAAGAAACTGATCATAAAGAACTTTAAAGGTGAGTTTCACTCCACTAGAACTAGTTCCCGAGCTGATGATCTGTGTGTCAGTGACAGTCGCATGAAGTCTGCTCATATCTGTCAGACACCACTCAAATCAAACTATATATTAAACAGGATGGTGTGTGTGGGGGTGGGTGTTTTTTTTTGTTCTGTACGTTTCTGTGTGTGTGTGTGTTTTCTTCTTTTGTGTGTTTTTTCTTCTTTTGTGTGTGTGTGTGTGGTTGTGTGTGTGTTTCTGTGTGTGTGTTCACAGACAGACCGAAGTTGACTGACAGCTACACTGAGGACACGTGGCTGAAGCTGAGAGATGCTGTGGGAGCGATTCAGAACAGCACCTCCATCCAGTATAACCTGGAGGAACTCTACCAGGTGTGTGTGTGTGTGTGTGTGTGTTCACACTGCATGACTTTACAAGAGGAAGAATCACAGAAAACTTTTGTTAAACATTAAATTAAACATTCTTATTAATGAATCATTATTAAAGTTATTCAGTCAAAAGCAGTGAGAGATTTTTTTGTCGTTTGATGAACATTAAAGACACAGACAGCATCAGGAATATTAGGCTGCCGTCTCTTTAAGAGCGAATGCACTGATCTAATACACTGATACACACGCGTTTACTGTTTATGTTCACAGAACTGACTGTGTCCGCTCAAGTGCAAGAAGACGTGAAAGAGCTCAGTTTAGTATTTAATAATAATACATTTAATTATCTTCTTGCGCTTGGATAATTAAATGATCAGGGTTTAATCTTGCGTGCCGATGCAGCGCTGACCGGCTACTGGCCCGAGCGCCGCTCAGTTCATAAACATGTGACGGCCAGCTGTCAAGTCACACTGTTTCATATTCACTCCAATGCTGATTTTTACTATATTACACACTATCGGTCAAAAGTTTAGAATCATTAATATTTCATAACGTTTCTATAAGTGTCTCTTCTGCTCACCAAAGCTGGGTTTATTCGTGAGCAGAAGAGACTCTTTCAGAAACATGAAAACTTTTATAAATCAGTAATGGTACAGTAAAGTGTGAACAGGTGTCCAGCTGTGTTTATGTAATGACCCACGTGTGTGTGTGTGTGTGTGTTTTTGTCTCCGCAGGCCGTGGAGAATCTGTGCTCGTATAAAGTGTCGCCCATGTTATACAAGCAGCTTCGTCAAGTGTGTGAAGACCACGTTCGAGCTCAGATCCATCAGTTCAGGGAATATCCTTCATCAGTGTGTGTGTGTGTTTGCCAGCTGTGCTTCACAGATAACGCTTGCTTTGCTCCGTCAGCGTGTGTGTGTGTGTGTCGTAGACAGTGCTTGAAGTGGGGGAAAAGGTGCCGGTACTCTCTTGCATTGGCAAATCATGACATTTGAAATTTCTACATTGAAAAATATTTCTGGTACAACAACAATTTATTGTTATTTATTAACAACATAAATGTATTTTAAAAATTCGTGTGCGTGCGTGTGTGCGGACATTTCTTTACAAAGAAACATTCTCTTTTTAGAAGTTGGTCATTAATAAACTTGATTCTTGAAGTTTGTTAAGATGGGAGGTATACAACAATTGCAAGAAAACAACCAAGAAAACAGCTCTGATATCGTCTTTTCAGTCATACTTCGATATGTTTACAAGACAGCAAACATAAAAAAAAAAAAAAGTACACTTGGGTTTGATTTGGGCATGTAGGCTACCTGTCTGTGTAGGCTATTACATAACCTAAAAGAAAAGCTTATATTCTGACTAGTTTATTTATTTATAAAACATATAGTTTTACCCAAACTGAATAATTAAGACAAGTTTAAATGGCTAAATCTTGTATAAATATTTTTATTTTATAATTTAATTTTTTGAGTCTTCATTTTCTTTTCTGACGTAGCATACTCCAGTTCTTGTTAAAGCACACTAGACACGAAAAATTCTGTGCATTTTGGGCACTTTTTGTGTGAAATCATATTTATTTTCTCCATCAAAAGTGTGCTTTCAGTTTAAATGAGCGTGAGCACAACAAAAATAGACTCGGCGCCGAACCCCCGCTTCACTGCTGCTCACGCGTAAATGCAGTCATTGATTAACATGCATGGCGAAAACATTCGCGCGTGCGGTGGCCGCGATCAGCTCCGGTAGCCGCTTCGCAGCCGTAACGCGCCGCAGATGTGTGCAGTGTAAATAAGGGGTTAAACGGCCGTCACGCTTTTTCTGTCAGTAGAGTACCGGCTACATGCGAGAAGTAGCGGTACACAAGAAAAAGTGCAGGTACGCTTAAGAGTATAATGTAGAAGTGCTGGTACTACGTACCGGTGAGTACCGCCCCACTCCGAGCACTGGTCGTAGATCATCAGTAGAGGAGAAAGCAGACCTTAACAGAGTCGCACAGAATCGCTGGACAGCCTGTCCTTCCTGAAGAGGATGAACCGATGCTGGCAGGACCACTGCAGACAGACGGTGAGAGAGCGAGCGTGAGCGACCGAGAGTGAGCGAGTGAGAGTGAGCGAGCGAGAGTGAGCGAGCGAGAGTGTGTGTAAGTTGAGAGTGGTTGAGAGAGAGTGAGTGAGAGTGAGAGAGCGAGAGTTTGTGTGAGTGTGTGTGAGTTGAGAGTGAGAGTTTGTGTGAGTGTGTGTGAGTTGAGAGAGAGTGAGCAAACGAGAGTGAGCGAGAGTGGACAGAGTGTGAGTGAGAGAGAGTGTGTGCGAGAGTGAGGCGAGTGTGTGTGTGAGTGAGTGAGAGTGAGAGAGAGTGAGCGAGTGAGAGAGTGTGTGCGAGAGTGAGTGAGAGTGAGAGAGAGTGCGAGTGTGTGCGCGAGAGAGTGAGAGAGTGAGAGTGTGAGCGAGAGTGAGTGTGTGTGTGTGTGAGTGAGTGAGAGAGAGAGAGAGTGTGTGTGTGTGTGAGTGAGTGAGAGAGAGAGAGAGAGAGAGAGTGAGTGTGTGTGTGTGAGTGAGTGTGAGTGAGAGTGTGTGCGCGAGTGTGTGTGAGTGAGAGAGAGAGAGTGTGTGCGAGAGTGAGAGCGAGTGTGTGTGTGTGTGTGTGTGAGTGAGAGAGTGAGAGAGTGAGAGTGAGTGAGAGAGTGAGAGTGTGAGCGAGAGTGTGAGCGAGAGTGTGCGCGAGAGTGAGCGAGAGTGTGAGCGAGAGTGTGAGCGAGAGTGTGAGCGAGAGTGTGAGCGAGAGTGTGAGCGAGAGTGTGAGCGAGAGTGTGAGCGAGAGTGTGAGCGAGAGTGTGAGCGAGAGTGTGAGCGAGAGTGTGAGCGAGAGTGTGAGCGAGAGTGTGAGCGAGAGTGTGAGCGAGAGTGTGAGCGAGAGTGTGAGCGAGAGTGTGAGCGAGAGTGTGAGCGAGAGTGTGAGCGAGAGTGTGAGCGAGAGTGTGCGCGAGACTGTGCGCGAGAGTGTGCGCGAGAGTGTGCGCGAGAGTGTGCGCGAGAGTGTGCGCGAGAGTGTGCGCGAGAGTGTGCGCGAGAGTGTGCGCGAGAGTGTGCGCGAGAGTGTGAGCGAGAGTGTGAGCGAGAGTGTGAGCGAGAGTGTGAGCGAGAGTGTGAGCGAGAGTGTGCGCGAGAGTGAGCGAGAGTGTGAGCGAGAGTGTGAGCGAGAGTGTGAGCGAGAGTGTGAGCGAGAGTGTGAGCGAGAGTGTGAGCGAGAGTGTGAGCGAGAGTGTGAGCGAGAGTGTGAGCGAGAGTGTGAGCGAGAGTGTGAGCGAGTGTGAGCGAGAGTGTGCGCGAGAGTGTGCGCGAGAGTGTGCGCGAGAGTGTGCGCGAGAGTGTGCGCGAGAGTGTGCGCGAGAGTGTGCGCGAGAGTGTGCGCGAGAGTGTGCGCGAGAGTGTGCGCGAGAGTGTGCGCGAGAGTGTGCGCGAGAGTGTGCGCGAGAGTGTGAGCGAGAGTGTGAGCGAGAGTGTGAGCGAGAGTGTGAGCGAGAGTGTGAGCGAGAGTGTGAGCGAGAGTGAGAGCGAGTGAGAGTGTGTGCGAGAGTGAGAGCGAGTGAGAGTGTGTGCGCGAGTGTGTGCGCGAGTGTGTGCGCGAGTGTGTGCGCGAGAGAGTGTGTGAGAGTGAGCGAGAGTGAGCGAGAGTGTGAGCGAGAGTGTGTGCGAGAGTGAGAGCGAGTGAGAGTGTGTGCGAGAGTGAGAGCGAGTGAGAGTGTGTTCGCGAGTGTGTGCGCGAGTGTGTGCGCGAGAGAGTGTGTGAGAGTGAGCGAGTGAGAGTGTGTGCGAGAGTGAGTGTGTGTGTGTGTGAGTGAGAGAGAGTGTGAGCGAGAGTGTGTGAGTGAGCGAGAGTGTGCGCGAGAGTGTGCGCGAGAGTGTGAGCGAGAGTGTGCGCGAGAGTGTGCGCGAGAGTGTGCGCGAGAGTGTGCGCGAGAGTGTGAGCGAGAGTGTGAGCGAGAGTGTGAGCGAGAGTGTGAGCGAGAGTGTGAGCGAGAGTGTGAGCGAGAGTGTGAGCGAGAGTGTGTGCGAGAGTGAGAGCGAGTGAGAGTGTGTTCGCGAGTGTGTGCGCGAGTGTGTGTGTGCGAGAGTGAGCGCGTGTGTGTGTGAGAGTGAGCGAGTGAGAGTGTGTGCGAGAGTGAGTGTGTGTGTGTGTGAGTGAGAGAGAGTGTGAGCGAGAGTGTGTGTGTGAGTGAGTGAGAGAGAGTGTGTGCGAGAGTGAGAGTGAGTGTGTGTGAGTGAGTGAGAATGTGTGCGAGAGTGAGAGCGAGAGTGTGTGTGTGAGTGAGTGAGAGAGAGTGTGTGAGAGCGAGTGTGTGTGTGAGTGAGTGTGAGAGTGTTTGCGAGAGTGAGAGCGAGAGTGAGTGTTTGTGTGTGAGAGAGAGTGAGTGAGTGAGTGAGTGAGTGAGTGAGTGTGTGTGTGTGAGTGAGTGAGAGAGAGTGTGTGCGAGAGTGTGAGTGAGTGAGAGAGAGTGTGTGCGAGAGTGAGAGCGAGTGTGTGAGCGAGTGTGTGAGCGAGAGTGTGAGCGAGAGTGTGAGCGAGAGTGTGAGCGAGAGTGTGAGCGAGAGTGTGAGCGAGAGTGTGAGCGAGAGTGTGAGCGAGAGTGTGAGCGAGAGTGTGAGCGAGAGTGTGAGCGAGAGTGTGAGCGAGAGTGTGAGCGAGAGTGTGTGCGAGAGTGTGAGTGAGTGAGAGAGAGTGTGTGCGAGAGTGAGAGCGAGAGTGTGAGCGAGAGTGTGAGCGAGAGTGTGAGCGAGAGTGTGCGCGAGACTGTGCGCGAGAGTGTGCGCGAGAGTGTGCGCGAGAGTGTGCGCGAGAGTGTGCGCGAGAGTGTGCGCGAGAGTGTGCGCGAGAGTGTGAGCGAGAGTGTGAGCGAGAGTGTGCGCGAGACTGTGCGCGAGAGTGTGCGCGAGAGTGTGCGCGAGAGTGTGCGCGAGAGTGTGCGCGAGAGTGTGCGCGAGAGTGTGCGCGAGAGTGTGCGCGAGAGTGTGCGCGAGAGTGTGAGCGAGAGTGTGAGCGAGAGTGTGAGCGAGAGTGTTTGCGAGAGTGTGTGCGAGAGTGTGAGTGAGTGAGAGAGAGTGTGTGCGAGAGTGAGAGCGAGAGTGTGAGCGAGAGTGTGAGCGAGAGTGTGAGCGAGAGTGTGCGCGAGACTGTGCGCGAGAGTGTGCGCGAGAGTGCGCGAGAGTGCGCGAGAGTGTGCGCGAGAGTGTGCGCGAGAGTGTGCGCGAGAGTGTGCGCGAGAGTGTGCGCGAGAGTGTGCGCGAGAGTGTGCGCGAGAGTGTGCGCGAGAGTGTGCGCGAGAGTGTTTGCGAGAGTGTGAGCGAGAGTGTGAGCGAGAGTGAGCGAGAGTGTGAGCGAGAGTGTGTGCGAGAGTGAGAGCGAGTGAGAGTGTGTGCGAGAGTGAGAGCGAGTGAGAGTGTGTTCGCGAGTGTGTGCGCGAGTGTGTGCGCGAGAGAGTGTGTGAGAGTGAGCGAGTGAGAGTGTGTGCGAGAGTGAGTGTGTGTGTGTGTGAGTGAGAGAGAGTGTGAGCGAGAGTGTGTGAGTGAGCGAGAGTGTGCGCGAGAGTGTGCGCGAGAGTGTGCGCGAGAGTGTGAGCGAGAGTGTGAGCGAGAGTGTGCGCGAGAGTGTGCGCGAGAGTGTGCGCGAGAGTGTGCGCGAGAGTGTGAGCGAGAGTGTGAGCGAGAGTGTGAGCGAGAGTGTGAGCGAGAGTGTGTGCGAGAGTGAGAGCGAGTGAGAGTGTGTTCGCGAGTGTGTGCGCGAGTGTGTGTGTGCGAGAGTGAGCGCGTGTGTGTGTGAGAGTGAGCGAGTGAGAGTGTGTGCGAGAGTGAGTGTGTGTGTGTGTGAGTGAGAGAGAGTGTGAGCGAGAGTGTGTGTGTGAGTGAGTGAGAGAGAGTGTGTGCGAGAGTGAGAGTGAGTGTGTGTGAGTGAGTGAGAATGTGTGCGAGAGTGAGAGCGAGAGTGTGTGTGTGAGTGAGTGAGAGAGAGTGTGTGAGAGCGAGTGTGTGTGTGAGTGAGTGTGAGAGTGTTTGCGAGAGTGAGAGCGAGAGTGAGTGTTTGTGTGTGAGAGAGAGTGAGTGAGTGAGTGAGTGAGTGAGTGAGTGAGTGAGTGAGTGTGTGTGTGTGAGTGAGTGAGAGAGAGTGTGTGCGAGAGTGTGAGTGAGTGAGAGAGAGTGTGCGAGAGTGAGAGCGAGTGTGTGTGAGCGAGTGTGTGTGAGCGAGTGTGTGTGAGCGAGTGAGTGAGAGTGAGTCAGAGAGAGTGAGCGAGTGAGTGAGCGAGAGTGTGAGCGAGAGTGAGTGTGTGTGTGTGTGAGAGAGCGAGTGTGTGAGTGTGAGTGAGTGAGTGAGTGAGTGTGTGAGTGAGTGAGAGAGAGTGTGTGCGAGTGTGAGTGTGTGAGTGAGTGAGTGTGTGAGTGAGTGAGTGTGTGAGTGAGTGTGTGAGTGTGTGCGAGAGTGAGTGAGTGTGAGTGTGTGAGTGAGTGAGTGTGTGAGTGAGTGAGTGTGAGAGTGTTTGCGAGAGTGAGAGCGAGTGAGTGAGTGAGTGTGTAAGTGAGTGAGAGAGAGTGTGTGCGAGTGTGTGTGAGTGAGTGAGTGAGTGTGAGAGTGTTTGCGAGAGTGAGAGCGAGTGAGTGAGTGAGTGAGAGAGAGTGTGTGCGAGTGTGTGCGAGTGTGTGTGAGTGAGTG